CGTTCTAGAGCGGCCGCCCATGCCTTGGCTCAACCATCTGATTCCAGGGAGCAATTAGCAGGCCCTTTGGCTGCAGATCCAAAACCACAGTTTCCCACTTGATTTGTGAGTAATAAAGGCTACATTTTAATTAAAAACAAAAAAAGCACAGCATTTAGCCCTGGAACTTGTGGGTTCGATGCAATTCCTGGTCAGGGCACATGTCCAGGTTACAGGCTCGATCCCCAGTAGAGGGCATGCAGGAGGCAGCCCATCAATGTTTTGCTTTCCCATTGATGTTTCTCCTCTTTCTCCCTCTCTCTCTCTCTCTCTCTCTCTCGCTCTCTCTCTCTCTAAAAATCAATTAAAAATATATTTTTAAAAAATAGTGTAGCCCTTAGCACAGTGCCTGGTAAGAGTAAACACATTGTAAATAATATCTAATGTAACTATTTCTAGACCCTGGTAAAAACTACCAAACTAAGTCCTTCCCCCTTTTTCAAATAGTTTAAAAATTTTTTTAATCCTCTCCTAGGTTAAATCTTTATTGATTTTATATAGAGAGGGAGAGGGAAAGAGAGACGTAGATGTGAGAAAGAAATATCGCCCCCACTGGGGGATATGTGCCCACTGGGAATCGAACCCGAGACCCTTCAGTGCATGGGATGACACTCCAACTGAGTCACACCAGTCAGGCAGGACCAAGCCCTTGTCTACTCCAAGCTAGAAAGGGTTCTCAAACTTTCTCACCAAAGGATCCCTAAGGAGAGAGAGTGAACTCCGTAGCAAGCTCCAAATTTCTTTGAAATGATATTGTTCTATCTTAAAATTTCTCAGGGACTTTGTATTCCACTTCATAGCACACCCCTATCTCTTTTAGTAGAAAATAACCATTTTCCCACAAATTTCTGAGTAAAGATGTGGTTCATTTCCCCTGTCATTTGGCATGCCCTAGTTTGAGGAGCATTCCCTGGCCCAATGCCTCCCCCAAATCCTCTCCATCAACCCCCACCTCTTGGTCCATGCAAGCCTCTTGGGTGCACCAGAGCCCATACCTGGCATAGGTGGGGGTAACAACATAGATAGTAGGCAGGGCCTCAGGCTCAGGGGGCTGGGCAGGGGCAGGGGCTGGACGATGGAGATCAGCTTGCAGCTGGGAAATCCTCAGATCCTTCTGCCGAAGCTGCTCTGCTGCTGCCCGCAGTGGGGGGAGGCAGTCACATGGCTGGCCTGGTCCCAGGAAGCAGGGGTCGGGGCAGAGAACCGAAGCACAGCACGTTCAGTATCCCAAAGGCCCACCATGTCATCCCATCTAGTGCAGGAATCGCCTTACAACCTCTCAGACAGCCTTCTACACCGCCGGGCGCGGGGAACTCACTGCCTCCATCAGCATCCCCTCTCCAGCTTCAGTAAGTCCCATCTGTTACCATTTTCATTCGGATACTGAGCTGATGCTCTCCTCCATCCTTCCTCCCGGCTGGTTCTAATTTTGCCTCCTGGAGCCATAAAGAAGAAGTCTATCTCCCTAAGCCAGGGCAGTCTCAAATACCTGAGGGTCAGCAGTGGCCCTGTCTGGAAAGCCCTTCGCTGTGTGACCGAGGACTCATTAAGCTGATCAGTTCCATTATTGGATAAGTATTTATTGAGTGCTCCTCCTGGGAGGCGCTGCCTTAGGGGCTGGGGAGGCAGCAGGGAACAAGGCAGACACGCTCCCTGGAGGAGGCGGGCACTAAGCAACGAACAACACTGCAAATTGTGATAAGGGCCGAGGAGGAAGCAGACAGGTTAGAGCCTAAGAGAGAACCCAGAAAAGGCAGCGCTCGTCTAGATGCGGCAGGGAAGGCCTCGGCGGCGGTGACCCTGAGCCGAGACCTGCCGGCTGGGAGGCCGGGGAAGCACCGCAGGCGGAGGGAACGGGTGAAGAGCTTGGGGAGCAATGAGCGTGCGGGTTCCGTGAGCGTGCGGGTTCCGTAAACTGTCACGGAGCCCGAGTGGCCGGAGCAGAGCGAGCGAGAGGGTTGGGAAACGGGGTGACGGCGGCGGGACCGTGCGGGGCCCTGAACGCAAGAAGGAGCCCGGATTGCCTCCGAGG